CGTTCGCTTGCCCTGAGGCGGCGCCTGTGAGGCGACAACGAGTGACTTCACAGCCGCGGTGTGATAGCCTCACCATATTCACGCGCGGCGTGCGCAGGCAGTCTACACGGCCAAGGCTGCTGTACTTTCCACACACACACGAAATGATGCAACAGGCCGTCAGCCCGCAGCGGCGCCCCCGCCCGGGCCTACCGGCGCGCGACCGAGCGCAGCGACGCGTGCGGCGGGGCCCAATTCGCTACTATCATTCTCTAGAGGCGGTTAGTTAGTTAGTTAGTTAGAGGTGGAGTCTGTTCACAGTGAACCCAATCACCATTTGGCCCAGGCTGCTAAGGGCGGTGAGCGGCTTGCAAGGCCAAAGAAGGCAGCGCGTGCCAGAGAACAAGGCCGACGATGTCGCCTCCGCCTCTCGTGTACGAGCGGTACGCCAAGCTCGTCTCGAGAGGCGCGCCCGACTCAGTCGACTTCCTCAACGGCCAGTGGCAGGCTGGGCGCCTCCCCGCGCCGGGCGCGGCACACTGCTCTGGCCGTGCTGCTCACGATGCGATCGTTGGTCAAGCGCAACAGACTTCAACTCGCGACTTCTTCACGCGAGACACCTTTTGGCGGCGGCTTTTCGCCCCCCGCCGCTCAAGTGCCGCCACTCACACGCAGGCCGCAGTGGGGATCGCACGGCCTACTCGCCCAAGCACTCGCTCTAGCTCTTCGCTGTCCCACCACGCAAAAACGCACCTGACTCGCTCTCTTGCTCTCTATGACTCTGATCTCTGTCTGTTTGTGGCTGCTTTTGGCTGTGTGTGAAGAGAGCGAGCTTTAGCAGTCGCCAAACAAATCTAACACTCACACACCAAGGATCTTTTGTTGGTTGCCTGCCCCCTGACCCCTGTTCGCTGAGGCTGTTCCTCGCACATCGTCATCGACCTCGGGTCCTCGCACAGCAGAGAGAGAGAGGGATGCGCTATGCATGGTTGTTTGTCCGCATTGTCCCTCAATTGACTAGTGAGTGAGTGAGTGAGTTTCAGCAGCAGTGAATCATTGTTTGCTTGGAGCACTTGGTTGGAGCACTTGTTGTTTGTTATTTATACTCCGCCACGCCGAAAGTGGAGCAGCAAAACTCAGCCTTGAGCACTTGAGCACTGGATAGGGTCGATTCCGCATGGTACGGGACCCCTCGATCGTCTCGCCCTCCCTCTCTGGTGTGCTCATCGGGGGGGGGCATAGCAAACACGGTACAGGATCGAGGTGCACGCTGCTGAGGCAGTGTCGTCCCCCCTCTCTGTCGTGGGGATTAGAGTGGTCTGACCAGTAAGAAGACGGGTCGAGGCCCTCCGTAGGCTCGTGAGGCGTCCCTCGTCTCTCGCTCGAGAGATGATCATCTGAACCCGAAGATCGGTGCCCAGCAAGTGTGAGTGGTGAGCCGCGTGCGCGGCTCTGCGGTATTGCTGACCGCTGGTGAGGCTGTAAAGCCATCCTCAAGCCGAGGCTGACATATGTGTAGAAGGTATTCAAAGTACGAAGGTGTGGTGTCACACCGGTGGAAGAATGGCGCCAGTTGCACCGAGTTGTGGTGTCACAACATTAAAGAGGTCGACTGTCTCGCGGCGCGGCGGCCCCACGAAAGCAGTCGAGACTATGACGTGCCAAACTTGCACAACGGGAGTTGGGGAAGCGTGACGTGTCACTACTTGGGCGCCTGTTCGGCGCCCAAGATGTCTAATATTAGGGGTCTGGGTGGCAACGACGTGCCACTGCACAGGGTGTGGGAACATAGGGGTATAGGTAGACTATTCATCACTGTGGGGGGGGAGAGTGTGATAATAGAGGTGCTGGGGTGGGGCTGGTGGAGGTGATTCTCCGGGTCAGTCTGGAGGTCATTCTCCACCACCTCCTGCGACACTCTCCCCGACGGCGATGGCGGAGTGACCGATCGAGCTACAAGAGGAACTTGTTCAGCAGGATCCGAGTTAGACCAGTGCACTACCTCACTGGGCCTGAGACCACCAGAACGCTTCTCGTCACCGTATCGGGTTGCGTGGGATCGAACCACTCCGGAATGGGCAAGCCTTGAGTTCTCAGCGCCCTCACGGCCCGCCAATGGCAAACCCGACTCCCTCCATCGGTGTGGCGCCGCTCGATGGTGCCGGGAACCCTACACCGGAGCGATTCCTAGGGTTAGCGCAGAAAAAGCCGGCCCCCTTAGCTCCGGCTAGGGCTACGGGGTCCCCGGAGCCGACCCGACGAGGAAGGGCCGACTTAGGGCTTGCATAGCGGGCCGAGAAGGCCGCCCACACCCGCGAGGATGGTTGTGTGGTTGCCTCCCCGACTCGGACGGCCGCCTCAGAGGGCGGGCATGCGTCCTCTCGCCCTCTCACCCGCGGGAGATGGCCGAGTCCACCGGGAGCCGCACGCTGCCTAATCCTTGGACGCAAGGCTCCGACTTCTATAGTGTATAGAGAAAACCCCATGAGCACCAGCGTTTTAAAGTGAAATCGTCAAGAGAGATCGATGACCCGGGCTAGGCTTTGGGGTAGGCAGCCACCCTTTTGAAGGTGAGGCGTATTTGCCGACCTGTGAAGACGATTTACTTGCGAGCAGTGCGTGGACCAGATGGCGCGAGGGCACCGCAACATGGCCAAGGAGGCAGGGAAGCTTCTGCTCCGAGACGGCCGCTCAGGACCGCAAAATGGTGTTCCTAAGGTTGTGTTAGTCGGGCTGGCCAGTCCCCGGGGCCTGACGGTCCATTGTTTCCCTCAAGAGTACTTATCCCCTCCCCGCCCTTTCTTTTTTTAGTTAGATGTGTCGGACCATATTTAACAAAAACTCTCTCTTTATTTATCGTTCGTTGTACGTTGATTGAGGATGACCCATCCCTTTTGTCCATTTACTTATTTGCACAAGAGGAAAAGTGATTAGAAAAATCCCGCAAAGAATTGAATTGAATCTGCATATAGTGACCGCATGACTGCTTTGACATGCGCTGCGGGCGCGCTCATCACAGTAGCGGCATGTTCTTTCTGGCGGCATGAGCAGCGCCATCAGCCCAGCTCTAACCGCCTGGCTCAGGTTTTGACCGCGCAAGATATAAAGGAAGGGTGGCTAAGGGCTCTGCCCGCAAGGCGCCCGCGTCGCAGACGCGGTACCATTGACAAATCTGCAATATACCCCCACACGAACACCTTCAGCTGGTGCCAAGACATCCGTAAAATCGAAGGCAAGAACGTCCGCCAAATCCGCGGAGATAGAGGGAGATACGCAGACGCGGTACCATTGACAAATCTGCAATATACCCCCCACACGAGCAAATAGCAAAATCCGAATACCGTGCGCAAATCCGACGATGTCGGCCGTGGACGGGGGCAAGCTTCAGCTGGTGCCAAGACATCCGTAAAATTGAAGCCAAGAACGTCCGCCAAATCCGTGCTTTCGGATCGAGCCCAGCGTGCCCGCGGCCGTGGTCGTCTGTTTTTGTTTCTCTAGGCTCTTGCGATACTCATTGTACACATTGATTTCTTGTTGGTTTTCAAAAATCTCTCTCGATCGATTCTCTCGTCATGGGAATGGCGATCGCACGCCGCCCTCTATCCCAAGGACTCTCACGCCCCCCCCCTTTGGGAGGTTCCCCGGAGGGAGGTTCGTGTCATGAGAGAAGATACACCCCTCCGTGTATCTAGACGGGCGGAAGATACACTGAAGATACACTTATGCGGAGATACACGGCCCAGCCCAAACGAAGAGGTGTATCTTCATACGAAGATACACCGCGGCCCAAACGAAGAGGTGTATCTTGACGGAGCGCGTTCATAGTGAAGATACACGTAAGCGGGAGCGGCAGTTGCTCATGCCGCTGGAGGGGCTCGGCCCGCCCTTTGAGGGCCCCAATGGCATCATGTTCCGCGCCGGCTTCTGGAAGGGCAAGCCCGTGGTTCTCCGCATGTCGTCCGCGTCCAGCACCGGCTACGAGAACGTGTTCCAGCAGGGCGGCAGCAAGAAGCGCAACCGTCCCTTTGTCGCCAAGTTCAAGCGGGTCGGCGAGAAGACTCAGCGCCACCTGCCCGACTCGAACAGCGCGACAGCCGAGGAGGCGGCCGCCAAGCTGGCCTACCACCACGAGTACGGGTCGGAGCTGCCGCCGCCTGCAGCTCGCCAGCCTCGCCGCTCCCCGGAGGTGCGCTCCTGAGCCCGCACCCATCCTGGCTGCGCTCAGTCCTCCTTCCCTGGGCTGTAGGAGATGGCGGCAGAGCGGGCGGTCAAGGAGGCGCGCAAGCAGGCCAGGCGGCCGCAGAGGCCGCCGCTCACGCCCGCGCCGGCGCAGCCTCCACAGTCTCCTCTCACGGGTCCCGGCGTGCCGTGTGTGCCGGTAATCCCTCTCCCCATGGGCTACCACCCCCTCCCCTCGGAGCCAGTCATCCCTGTGGGCCCTGTGGGTGAGCCCCAGCCAGGCCAGTGCCAGCACTCGTGGGACCCAGCCACCTGCGCCCTCTGCAACTGGTCCTGGGGCGCCCGGCGCTGAGATACACTCAAGATACACTCGAAGATACACTTCGTAGATACACCGGAGGAATGTTATAAAGTGTATCTTTGAAAATGTATAGTCAAGTGTATCTTTGGCTATCACTCGAACTTTGGACAAGGGAATCGCCAGAAGAGGGGGGCGTGAGAGTCCTTGCTCTATCCACGCCACCGCCCCCCCCCCCGCCCCCTCTCAGCCTCTGGCCGTGTGCCCTGTTCACGCGCTCGCGAGACGTGCAAAAAGAAAGAAAGAAAACAGCAACCCAAACGAGGGATAGGGGAGGAGGACAGGGTCCCCACCTGCACGACAGGTTTTGGAAGGACGTAGGACGAGACGTGACAGTTCGATGGAGGCTTTGCCGGTGTGTGTGCCAGTCCGCGCCAGTCCGCGCCCTTGTCGTGCCAGTGTCTAGAGGCTTGTATTTTAAGAATTCTTTCTTTCCTCATGAGGCGCCATTGTGGGTCAACCGCCGAAAGCTCTCACCAACCCTATGTCAAAACGAGGCTCGTCCCGACCAAAACGTGTGCCGCCGGACCAGCAGAACGTTGATCAGCAGTGCGCTCGCCTCTGGCGCCAAGTCGGGTGCGCCAGCGGCGCGTGCGCCACCGCGCTGGAGTCGTCTCTCGACCACCTCTGTTGCTGCACAAACCGAGCCCCGCCGAGACCGCCACCGGCGCTGCCGCCGCCTCCGCTAGCACCGCCTTCCCCATGTCCGCCTCCTGCCCGCCCGTTCGAGGCGTTGGCAGCTCGGTCGCCGCTCGCAGCCGCGCTCAGTGGAGCCGCCATCCCTCTCGTGGTGGGAGTGCTCCTCGCCTGCGTCCTGCTCGCCTGGCACCGCCACCGTCAGCGGAACAAGCCGCCGGTGGATGACTACTACGCCGTTCTGGACGTGTCCCCGCAAGCCACTACGGCTGAGATCCGCACGGCCTATCTCGCAGCGGCGAGACGCCTCCATCCCGACAAGACATCCTCGCCAAAGAGGGCTGGGAAGGGGGGCGGCGGCTCGACGGCGGTGGAGGAGGGCGACTTCCTGCGGGTGCAGGCTGCGTGGGAGACGCTGCGGTCAGAGCGGCGGAGGCGCAACTACGACGCGAAGCTTGCTCGCCAGAGGGAGGCGCTCGGGCTCGAAGACCCGAGCTCGAGCTTGCTGCAGGGAGCCTCGGGCGACTGCGGCTGCTGCCTCGGCTGCGTCTTCTCGGGAGGCAAGCTCAAGTCCCTCGAGAGTGCGCCACCGCCAGAAGAGAAAGGCGAAGCTACCGTGCCGGAAAGCGCTCCGTCGGCAGAGCTGGACCAGTGACTCGGTGGTTGTGTGCGGGGAGAAGCGGCGCGCGGCGCGCGGGCTCGAGATGGAGATCGCAAGACGAGACTCATCGAGAGAGAGTCGAGAGACGCAGGATCTCTAGCGACGTGGGGCGCGGCCGCGGCCGCGGGGGTGGCGCGAGTGCCGCCTGCCAGGCGGTCCCGGGAAGTGCGGTGTGTCCGGCGCTGTCCGCCGCCGCGGAGGGACCGACAGACCCGGTAAGCGGTGTCCCAGGAGGTTGCGGCTGCGGGAGACAGCCGTCAGCCCGACAGGAGGAGAGTCGTGCACCAGGCGCCTCTGAAAAGCTGTCAAAACCCTGACGATGTTCAAACACTTTCGAAATTAAGTTAAGGAAAGAGTACAGTGATGGGGGGGCGTCCGGATGGCTCTCGCGGAACGACGACGACACCGTAATGTGCCGGAGACAGAACGTCGGACGACAGGCGAACTGCCCCGCGCGCGCACACAGATATCTACCCCGGTTCGAGGGCTTTCGCGATCGGGTCCAGCGCGACCGTGCGTCTCGCTGCCACGACCACCCACGTTCGTGACAGGAGCACCGCGCGCGCGGCCGCACGCTCCAGCCCCCCCGCCCCGTCTCCCTCCACCCCGTCCTCCCTGTATTCTCCGGCGGCCCGCACGCTCCTGTCATGGTATGCTATCGTCGTTGTCGAGAGGCGCGCGGAAACGCGGCTGCTGCGTCGTGCGCGCCAGAGGAGTCCCGCCCGCTGCTGAGGAGCGCCGCCGCCCGCCCCGTGCCCGCCGGGCCGCCGGCAGCGCACGAGGCCGAGGCCCGTCGAGCGCGCGTCCTACTGCTTTGGTACACACTGCGGCAGCGGCGACCATGTCACCGCGCAGTCGCCGCGGGGCCCGTCGGCCGCCGCGGCGCAGCCCTGCAGCCCGAAGCTGCACTGCACGGCGCCGCTCTGCTGCGGCACCGCCATCCACTTCCCCACCGCGAGCGACGCGAGCAGGGCAAGCAGCGCAAAGCCAAAGAGCCACGACGAGCGCGACGGCCGCGGCGAGGGCAGCGCGACGAGCTTCGGCGGCGGCTTGGCGGCAGCGGCGGGCGGCAGCGGCGGCGGCGCGGCGGCGGCGAGCAGCTTCGCCTCCTCCTGCAGCGCCGCCGAGTGCTGGTCTGTCGGCAGCTCCGTCGCGTCGAAGGGTCCGGATCGCGTCGCGTGCGAGAGGAGTCGCGACGCGGTCCTGTCGAACCCCTTCGCCTTGAGCTGCGGGGGAGGGGAGGGGAGGGGGGGAGGGGGGAGCCAGGCGTGGGCGGCAGCAGCGGCAGCGACAGAGGGCTGCGGCCGGCGGCTGGCGACGCTCGGGCCGCCGCTGTGGCCGTGCTGGGCCGTGAGGCGCGCACTCACATCGGCGCCGGTCACAACACTGACCCACAGCACCGATTTCGTACTTCACCGTTTCGGTCCTGCTTTCGCCGGACGCCGCCGCCGCACGTGCAAAAAAAAGATGTGCGTGTCTAGATAGTGCTAGTTTTGGGGTGCACTCTGAAGGTATGCCGCTGGAGGTCATCGCTTTGGGCCCGCTTAGAGACGACACTGGAGTGGGAATCCCTATGTATCAAGATCCTCTGTTCTGCGCACGTGCGAAGCGTCACGGCGCGCGCCGGAGCGGGGGGGGGCCGGCATGCGGGCA